ACCCATTTATCCGCATGATATCCTGGCATCCGATATGTACCCTCTGGATGTTTAACATAGCAATGGAAAGTAGTCGATTTGTGGTTGATTTACTAAATCAGGACTTATCCTTGTAATTATATAAACTCCCATAGCCATGTTGAATTACCAAATGATACTAGTTTAATAGGGGTTTACCTTCTGGTTAAAAACATCACTATGGACAATCACCATGTTTACATAATAATGTCAACCTTGGACCAATAAACCCATGTTTAAATGGGAAGGTACCAATTGAGTATCAAATCATGACTATTGGGGGAATACCCCACTAATTAATAAATCATGGTTTATTAATCCGGGGTTGACACTAATAAGAATAGGTTAATTATCTATATATGGTTAAATATATGGGCATTCTCCATCATAATGTTAGTTTACTGATAATTAGTGGGGATTTATCCATCCATTCGTTGATATTCGTTGGAGATAGAATTACACCACCGTCATCATCTATGGCCATTTCAGGTTCCGTTCCGCTGGAGGTATGGTTTTTGTTGATGGATGTTGATGGTTAAAACATGTTAAAACCATCTAATGCCATAGAAATTGGGGGTATGTCAGGTATGTCCCCTTTGCCTTTACAGGTCGGCCTTATATGTGGCTGGTAGGTCCAGGTCCCATGGTCGCCGGAGGTCGCCGTACCTGCACCACCGGCGCCAATGACCACTGCGTCGTAGGAGTGGTCAAAGACCTCGTAGCCTCCGACCCTGGCAAGGGATCTGACCCGGGATGACCAACATTGATCTCTGTATGCGTGTGCACTGACAAATGCACACACATATATATTATATAATTATATAATTTTATAAATATATATATATTATATAAATGTATATATAGATACACATGCTTTCCATATGTATTTATATAAAATAACACTGTATCGCAAGTTTGTACTTACATACACGGTATGGAAATAAATGTGTGTCCTCCACAAAGCTGCGGAATAATTCCAGCCAAGCAGCTGAGTGCTGCTCACATTGCGCACACCTTTCGCAAGGCTGACCCGCGCAGGTAGCGCTGCGGCACGACGGGCCGGCCGCGACAGAAGCCGCGACAGCATGGCGTCGCAGGGGCGACGTTCACAGCGGGGCTCTCGGTGGCAATGACTGCGGCATTGGGCGAACACCAATCACAAATGGTCCTCTGGATGGGGTTGATGCCAGAATCATCCGGTGAAAAACATCAACCTTGCCCGCCCTGTGAGATGTTGCAACAGTAGAGTACATATTGATTATCATATGCCCGAGAAAAAGTAGGGGATGGAAAATGAGCCATGTACTTCAAACAAGGCCAAGTCATAGTTGTTGAGAAACATGGTAAATACATCAATCACCCATTGGACATCTCACACCTTTTTTTGTGTGTGTGCCATCCAATCTAGACCCCATCACCTCCCAATAGCAGTGGGCGCCAAGCATGGCCGACAGCTGCTGATTGGGGATGATTAAAATTTCATCCATTGACAATAAAACTGTGTCAAAATGGCTCATCATATTCCCCATCAGTTGGTATCCCAACTGAAGACAATAAATAACGGAATCGTCAGAAACAGTTTGATTCGGAAGCGGCTAACTGCAGGCACCGCCTTTTGTCGATCCGCGTGAAACCGAGTCACATCCGATGTTCATTCTGCCGTATTCCGTCGCAAAGCAAAGAGTCTTCTCCGTGGGTCTATCAAAATCATGGTCAGCCTTACCCTGCTGCAAAAGGTGGGGTGTTTCGGTGTTTCCCTACCAATAAGTTGATTAATTGGACTCTTGGACCCATTACTATACACATAATATGTAGCATACAAACATATGTACAATCATATTATATATATATATATGTATAAACATACTATTCATAGACCCAACTGTTCTGTTAGTAACACAACTTGGCTTCGTTGGCACCACCTTTAAGAATCCACCAGCTTGAGCAAAGCTTTTGATTCTGCACACTACTTACACTACTCCTGTGCTCATAGAGAATATATATATATGACTATATACTAATATATTATAAGTTAATAGTATCGTAGATACTCAAAAATTAAATAACTATAATGTAACTTAACTACATTCAAATATATGGTTTTTAAAATATACGAACTTGATTTTTGGACTCCCTCCGGGAAGGTTTTCCTTGGCCCGCCCGGCCTTTTAAACATACGGAATCCAATTTGTTTACACATATTAATATACATTTAAATATACGGATGGAACTGGTGTTTCATACTACCTCTGGGGCGTCATATATTTAAATGTTGTTACCATATATCTATATCTATATATATATATATATATACATATGTTTTTTTTTGGCGTCCAAAGGTTTTGCCTGTATCTATCTACCTATCTATCTCTATCTATCTATCTATCTACCTATCTATCTCTCTATCTCTCTATCTCTCTATCTCTATCTCTATCTATCTATCTATCTACCTATCTATCTCTCTATCTCTCTATCTCTCTATCTCTATCTCTATCTCTATCTCTATCTATCTATCTATTTATCTATCTGTGTGTGTGTTAATAATCATATAATATAATATAATATATATATATATATTTATTTATTTATTTATTGTGACTTGTAGGAATCATACGCTTCAGGATGATTCAGAATTGTAGGATTGCAGTAGAGGTTCAACGGAGGCCCTCCGGCACCCTGATTTTCATGACCCAAATCACCGGTTCTGCCGGAACTGAGAACGTCACGCTCTAAAATTGTCACAGCCAAGCATGAACAGTGCTGAATCAATGCATCAAGACTTAGGGATGGGTCCAAATAGGTCCAGCATCTTCAAGGGTGAATTCCGGTACTTGCCACATCCTGCAACTGCAGTTGAGAAAAACACACACACATCATCTCATGTCGAAATTCTGACCAAATGACACCAAACCAATGAGGGTCATCCTCCATGTTGGATGCAAGAGATCCAAATCATAGGATAGAAACCATTGGTAACCCATGACCCATGATCTTGGAAAGTAAGATCTCGTGGAAAATGGGAGGATCTCTTTTTGGTCTGGCAGAGTACTTTACGTCCGTCGAGGCCATCACGAAAGCGGTCAGAAACCATGAGAGAAAGCCATGCATATACATCAAAATAGCGGATGATGGATGATGCATATGAACAGAGTCTGATACAATGGCAATTTACTCAAGATCTTCTCAGCACTGCCATCTTTCAAAGTTGCCATGATCAAGCAGAGGTGTTTCGCAAAAATCAGGCTGGGCAGTTGTCTCGTTGCACCCTACCGGTTGTTCTGCAAACCCGCTGCCGCCCAAAGTCCCAGCACAAAGCAGGCAGGATTTCAATTTCAAAATCTCAATGCCCCAATGCACTTCGAATATGCATAAACAGCCACACACAACCATATGATATATGGGTAGGGTCAAAACCCAGTGGCAATAAACCTGGTGAACCCCACAGTAGCTAGGACTTATCTTATTCATGGATGTTCATCACTTTCATCCCCAGATGTTGTGTTAACCGAAGGTGGTCGACTGAAGGAAAGTGCCTGGGAACTCCCAGAAATGTGCAAATTTGCAGCATTCCCAGGCCCAGAAGATCTCATAATCTGTTTTGCGGGAGAGATTCAAAGAACACCCGATCCTCGGCTGCGATCCTGCCAGCTGTGCATGGTGTTCTGTTTTGGTGCCCTGAACTGTGCCACAATCTGTGAAGCGGCGCCGCGGCTGCCGAAAGGCATGGAGTAGACAGTAGACTGAGTACACATGCACAAGAATTGCTTGACAAAACACAAGTAACTTATTCATGAACGAAGGGCCGCAGGAGGGTTCTTGTTCAGATTGAAGGATCATGGCAGCCAAAAACACCAATAGCAACAAATAACACCAATGACAAAACAAAAAATAAGGAAAACTATGAACAACTTTTTTGTGTCCTTGGAGAAACCTAGCCAGCCAGCAGCGCAAGATCGACACTTCACAGTAATGGCAGTGACCCAGCTTATGTCAGACTGTGGGTCCTGCCGAGCACAGAACGTGTCCTGACTGCATTTTCCAACTGGCAGAGTTTGCCGTTGAATTTGGCATCTTGGCCATGAACATGAAGCCACCAGCAGGGACTATCATATCTATCAATCTATCATCTCTTAACTGCTGCGATTTTGTTCTGTTTTCGCCAGGGAAACTTCTCCACATCCAATTATCTATTGGCTTCCCACATCATTTTTTTCAGCTCTCAGTTCTCCGGATCAATGACATTAAATGACGTGACAATTCAATTTTAACGGGAAATCAAAGAATACGTGCACCCCTGCAGCAAAGATTGCCCAATCAGCATCCCCATCGGCAACTCCTACGGTCCTACACGTGAATCGGACCTTGAGTTGAGCCCGGATGGCACCCAAAAAAAACAGGGAAGATTGAAATCGCTAAGAAACATTTGGTACACAGAAAAAACATATAAAATGTGTGCCATTCAGTACCAGCTATAGCAATTTGGATTCACAGCCACTGGTTTTTGTTGCTGCGAGTTTCGTTGGCCTATAGCTTGACCAGACTTTTCCTATCCAAACATGGACCTTGACAGCATGACTTTGAAGGAAATTCCACGATCCAAGTTTCATCCTAGCGATTCGGAATCATTGAATCATTTCTATTGCAACGAATCATATCCGTCTGTCTGAATAGGGTACTCCTAAATCTACTGGTTAATCATAATTTCTACTGTACCTATTGACATAATTTGATAGAGCAATTTTGGCGGTATGCCTCTCCTCCCTATTTTCAGACACACCCAAATCATATACCAAATATATGGATCTATATGGTTGGGTGTATGTATCCCCGCTATACCCCCATGATATCCTCATTATCTCAAATTATATATCTCAAATTAATAAATATAAATAAATATATATATTTATATATAATATATATATATATCAAATTAGATCACAATGTTTCCTAAAATATATACACATATATAGCTAAATCATATATCCCATCCACCATCCGAACTATGGCTGCTGGCCAGCAAGGTCGCGCGCAACGCTCACCTGCCTGGAATCAGTTCCAAGACCTGAGCATAGCTATGGCTATGGAAAATATTGGAAATCACACAATTTATACAAATATACATACATATGTATGTATATATGTGCATGTGTATATATATATAGATATTTGTGTATATGTGTATATATATATGAATATGGATATATATGTACATGTATATATATATATGTGTTTATTTATTTATGTATATATATATATATGCAAAAATATCAAAACATATATTATGTTTTTTTTAGTATCTCCATGTACTCAAAGGCGGCAATGGACAATCACCGTTTGTAGACGATTTTTCTCAGCTAGAATTCTCGAAACATCTGTTTATAGGGGAGTTGCCATTTCCAGTTTTGCTTACCAAAGGGTAAATCATAAATGGTACATTTTCCATAGTTTATGTTTTGTTGAATTACCAAAGGGCAACGTTTCTAATTAATTAGCCTGGAACTATTGGGGGTCCTGTGACTTTCCCTCCATACTCCACTTTCCAAATGGGCTTGTGACCCGAGCCAGCAGAAATGATAGCCAGGGACTGGGGGAACATCGGGTTACCTCAAGCGGCGGCTATGAAAATGATGGGGGTTACCAAACGCGAAAATCGGGCACCCCAAAATCCTCATTGGTCATGTTTCAATGGTGAAACCAACGGTTCTTGATGGTTTTTGGGTTCAACTTCAAGAACTTCCACCAAAAGTTGGTTTCTAGCATTCTAGCCAGCCAGGTGGCATTTATGGACACGACCACTTGGGAGCTGTTGCCGTCATCCTCGAAGGGCTTGATATAATCACCTACGACATGGGCAAAATGGTAACAAACAGGGAGGTTCCTATGGACCTTTTCCAAGTTTTTTTCTGGGGCGGAGAGGGGTGAAACATTGCTTTTGGATGGCTAAGTATTATGGCATTACAGTAACTTGCATGTGCTGGTCAATCACCTCAAAAAGGTTCAAGAAGTGGTGTTCATTTGATTGATGCTCAAACCTCCTGAACACGACATGGAAGCATTCAGGAGAATAACAAGAAAAAACATGCCCAGCCATGCAACATCCGCAAATGGCAAAAAATACAGCAAATGCATGCAAGTGCTAGATCAAGTACGTATGAGCCTTTTCCCGAAACCGGTGGGAGATCACCGTGATCTGAAATTACGCCAATCACATCCAATCACAATCCAAAAAGGGAAAGCCGTCCAACATCCAATCAGTCACTGGGTTGATTTAAGGAACATATTTTAACCAATGCCAAGTTTTTGCCGTCTATTTCAGAGGTTCATGTATTAAATAAAATCTTTGCTGAAACATGCTGAAACCCTTGGGATGAATAGCTGAAATTCCAGGTGTCCGGGCCTAGGTAGCGTCGTCCCAAGCACACTTTTGGCCCTGTGGAGCGGCCGTTGACCGAGAATTCAAACCTCCGCTGAAGGCGCGCGAACACCAGCCTTGAAAATTGTCCAGCCCTTTCTATCATCTGATATAATCTGATATCTAAAATTATCTAAATATCATCAAATATCATTCGTCTGTACTGATGCGCCCCTACTACAGTTCCAAGATTCAAAGCCGGTTGGAATTGCATTCAAATCCACAAAATGCCATAAACAGGGATACTTATATGGTTCACGCCATCTCTCTCCATCTAGTTTTAAGATATACTTTCACCATACTTCACCATACTTCACCATACTTCAACTGAAATCTGAAATTGGGAACTGGGATCACTGGGATTTGTCGCTTTGCGGGCAGATTCTTCATATCAAACCCGTGGTATTGTGCTACGCCGCTACGCCCTGCCGTGGCACGGTGCCCTGTCGAGTCCAGGCGCTTGATTCCCGGCGAGTCGGGACCGCGCGACAAAGCCACGGAGCAGTGCCCTGGCTCGGCTTCACCTGGGGACATCCCATGGGAATCCCGGTTGGATGCCTTCCCAGTAGTTCCATGATTTTTGCCTGAGATTTAAATTGAATTTCTAGGAAGTTCTCAATAAACTTAGTATCAAATCATCAGGGCTGCATGAAAATCCGTTCCCCCTCTTGAATCGCTCTCAAATGAAACCCAACTTTTTGGTATTGAATCTGCTATTTTGGATGCCTGGGGATGGGTTTGCTTCAAATCATCCCAACACTAAAATGGGTTTTGACCCCTTTCCAAAAATATGGGTAGGCACGCACAGAAACACAATTTTCTCTGATCATGGAATGCAATAAACTGTGGCAGACCAAATGGGCAAAATAGAAGGCGCATAGCCATTTATCCGCTTGAATGAGCTTTCGAAATTGCCATTTGGGCTGGTATTCCAAATGTGTTTCCCTATTCCAAATATTACCCATCGAACCACCAATTGATCCATGGCTGAAATTATCCTCCGGCAGTAGAACTTCAACTACTTGTCCATATCAGGTACACCGGTTCGACTTTTAAACATATAAACGCGTCCCATTGCCATGCTAGATCACCTAGGGCCACACCGTGTTGGAGATTGAAACCTTGTGGGGATGACTAAACATCATCTCGTGGGACCTGAATTTCAGGTGTCATCTTCCATTTCCGAACCTAGGAACTGCTTCTTAAAGCGTCTCAAACAATCTTACTTGACCTGGCTAAGATTGGCTAAGTGCTGAGCCTTGGGCCTTGATTTTCCAGCTGCTTGGTCAGGGCTAGTTGCCCTGATGAGGGTGAGTATCCAATGACCATGATATTTGTCATTAAGTATATCTCAAATGATTTTGAGCTCAAGCCTTCCTTGAATCGGTTCTGGTGCATCCCTGAAATTTTGCATGGAACATTATTGTTGCACACTCCATCCATATCAGAGTATAGCGGCTATAGCATGAAACCAATAAAAATCTCCCAAAATTGGTCATGGTTTCTATCATCCATGTCTCTTAAAATTGAAGCTTCGGTGTTACTCGATGCCAAGGTGCGACTTCCATTGGGGTAGAAGGACAGTTGCATGTGACCTTCCTGCGAAACCACGTCCAATCTCCAGCACTTTACCATTTCAAGAGGAAACATGACTAACACTTGGATTAAATTGTGATTGGTTGATAGTGACCGCCATTCTTTATAGATATGAAATTTATAACTGATACATATATATATATGTATATATATAATGGGGATACAGTAGGATGTATTTGAATCTAGACAACCAACAATATCGATCACCATCATATGGTTAGTATGACAGTCCTTGGGAACATCTTTACAGTGAATTTCGGCACAAGTCTGCGTATGACTGCGGGAACCCACTCTTTTGAACGTCTTTTGAACGTTGAGATGAATGCACAAACATGTTGTTTGGACTTAGGGGCAACCAGTCAAACGCGGAATAGTGTTAGAAGATGGCAATCTGTAGCCCAGAGTCCATACAATGTGCTTTATTATGAAACATGATCACCCTGGAATGAATCGCACTCTAAAAGCGGACTGGTTCCTGCTATCCGCGTACGGCATGGTACTGGGCTGGATATGAATGGCTCTTGTTTGCTTCCAAGTGAATCTTTCTGACAATTCTAACCGGCAAATTGTACATAATTGGCTTAGCTTAGATTTGTATTTCATGTGCACATGCAATACTGCACACTCAATCCAGCTATCTATTCGTCTATTCTGAATTCCATCTATTCAATCTGTCCATCTCTCACTCCAAGTCTCTCCATCTGTCCATCTCTCCATCTCTCCGTCTATCCATCAATCCATCTACAGCATCATGTCAAAGTTATAGTGTATATATATATATATATACTATATACATCTATATACGTATATATATATATATATGTATAATATATATATATATATATACATTGCCAATCTGGTGGGGGATCAGCACTCCAACAAAACAGGAGGCGGTTGGGATAATCAGCCTGGCTGAGGTGAGCAAAAAAGATGTCCGTGAAGTGCGGAAACATAAAAAACGTACCTAAATCTCAAAGAAATCTGAATATGTATAATAATGAATCACCACTTTATGCGATGTTGGTATTATATGCGTTAACATACTATACATTTTTCAGAAACGCTTAAAAGTTACGACATACGTGTATACTGAAAATTCAGTGTATACTGTATATATGGTTGGTATGTTTTAAACATCTTAAACAATATTAGTCAGTTGGGAAGGATTATTCCCAATATATAAAAAACCATCTTGAACAATATTAGTCAATGGATGTCAACGAGTCAATGGGAAGGATTACCCTCTGGTAAACTAACATAGCTATTGAAAATTGCCATTTATAGTGGGTTTACCCATTAAACATGGTGATTTTCCATAGTTATCTTAGTTTACCAGAAGGTATCCCATATATGGGAAAAAACATGTTCCAAACCACCAACCAGGTATGTGTCGCACCTGGATGCTGAAGGTCGGTGACATCACACAGGAGTCCTGGCGCCAGAGACACGGCCAGTAAAGTTACGAGCGTTGCTGGTGGATTTAAACAACGAGAACATGGGGAAATAAACGGGAAAAAAGGTGAATTATGATGAGTTGATGAATGCAATCATTAAGTTGGTTTAGTTCACTAACATAACTGAGGTTTATGGTAGATATATCGAACTCGCGAGTGAAAACACTGTTGGGTTTATGGAAGAGATATCGAATTACTGTAGTAGTGAATGGATGTTCATGGGGTCCATAAACCAACTTATCACGGGAAGGAATCATCTTGTAGAAGAAATGGATCAAAACTGGAGGAAAACAACTCAACTGTTGTTACCTTGTAGTTTTCTTGTTGTTGCATTAAATTTTGAAGCCGCAAACTTCGACATGTCTGGGATGCAAATGCCAAGAATGGGGATTCATGTGCTGCCATTTTCGGATGATGCTTACATATGCTGACCAACCATTCATGGCAAGTTTATCATCGGATTTACCACATTACTTAAATCAAATAATATATAGAGCTAAATTAAACATGGAGCTTTAAACACACAAAACATATAAATATAGAGTTTTCATGATTTTTCCTGAATTAAATATGCATATACCCCTTAACCCAACATTTTCAAAGTAATGTTGTATCCTGATTAGCAGCTAGGTTCGCTATTGTGCCCATATATATATATATATATATATATATTCTGAACCCATGCATTGTTTGGAAGGTTCACTATTGTGGCAAGAACTCTTGGGAGACATTTGTTTTGCCCAAAAAAATATGTAAGAACATTTTTTCTGAACAAACATATTGCTTGTCTCCCTGTCCCAAAAGAACCAGACCGCTTATTAAACCCTTATCAAAAACAGTTTTTCCACAAATTTCCAAGGCACTGGGCCATGAGAGGGTCCAGTTCACTTAAGTAGTTTTGTTCTCAAGGTTCGCAATTGCAGCAACCTCTTCCAGTACTTTTCCAAAGAAAAACCTTTTACAAAAGCAATGGAGAAGTTCAAAGCCCAAGCCTTTCCCAAAAGAATCAGACCGCTTATTAAACCCTTATTAAAGAACAGTTTTTGCCACAAATTTCCAAGGCACTGGGCCGTGAGAGGGTCCAGTTCACTTTAGTAGGTTTGTTCTCAGGTTTCACAATTGGAGCAAACTTTTCCAGAGCTGATCCTGGAACCAAGAGAAGAAAGAAAAGCCTTTTACAAAAGCATTTGAGAAGTTCAAAGTCCAAGCCTTCCCAAAAGAATCAGTCCGTTTATTAAACCCTTATTAAAGCAGTTTTTCCACAAATTTCCAAGGCACTGGGCCATGAGAGGGTCCAGTTCACTTTAGTAGGTTCGTTCTCGAGGTTCACAACTGCAGCAATTTTTCCAGAGCTGATCCTGAGTTCATCTTCCTCTGCCTCTTCCTCTTCCCCTTCCTCTTCCCCTTCCTCTTCCTCTCTCTCTCTGTTCCTCTTCCTCTTCCTTTCCCTGTTTCTCTTCTTCTTCTTCCTCTTCCTTTTCCTCTTCCTCTTCCTCTTCCCCTTCCTCTCTCTCTCTCTCTCTTTCTCTTTCTTCTTCTCTCTTTCCCTTTCTTTCTCTTTCTCCTATTGCACTTTGAATAAAGAACTTAAGGTGGAAAAGGTAACGCAGTCAACATGCTGACAAGTACTACAAGTACAACAAGTACTACAAGTATTACAAGTACTACAGGTACTACAAGTATTACAAGTACTACAAATACCACAAGTTCATCGGCAAAAAACAAATTTTAATTAGATTTCAATTGTCGCCAATTGAAATCCTTACTTAAATACGGGATCGTATTTTTTCGGATATTTTTGGCACCCAACGTTAAAAAGGGTTTTTGGCTATCGTTGAGTTAAATGGGGGGCCTCACATCTCTACATCTCCATCATCCCATTGAAGCCGACCGGTAATGGGGCGACACAGGACGAAGCCTTGGGGAACTTGCAGAGTTCTCTCCAGGGATCCGCCACGGTCCAATCAAAGCGAGAGCCCGAGACCAAGGCATCCGAGCCTGGAGCCAACACGGTGAAGACAAATGGCTTTGATATAATGGGTGATTGATATCCCTAAAATGGGTATAGTGGTGGTTATATATATATATATAGTTTATAGAATGTTTATAGATTGTTTTGATATTTCAAGGGATATCTCCATGATGGTTCATAACCATAGTGGGATATAACCATCATGTTGAAGGGATGTAACCATTCTAGTTAAATCGGATATAGCAATCTTAATGGTTAACCATACTGGTTTGATATAATGAAACATACATGGTAATATCATCAAACCACTATAGTAAATGGGATATAGCTGCAATAAATGCTAACATATGGTAACGTGCCATCAAACCAATATAGGCATAATGGGATGTTTCACTGATAAAAAATAAAATATATATAGAGGTAATAGAACTGGTAATCAACAAATTATATATAGTTAATATTAGTTAATGATGAATAACCAACCATAAATGGCGATTCATTGGGGATATCAGAATATCATGGGATATAAGTTTTATAATCAACAATTCGGGATTTACCCTCGGGTGTCACCAAACGGATCCACACGTGACAATTCAAAATCAATCATCGTTGATGATTTTCCCAATGAGACATCCATCTATAGGGGATTTTCCGTTGCCATGTTTGATTAGCGGGTTAACATGAGGACACCTGCTAGCCGCTAGGTTTCTGATTTCCAAGCTTGGTTGAACACACAAAGTGTTCATCAAATTGGGACTCTGATATACAGTACTTTGAACGCTCAAACTTGGATAAACATGGACAACAATATTCCAATAGACAATGTATTCAGGATTTTAACAGTAATTACAGTATGAAATAACAAAATAACATGGGGCATATCATCAAAACAAAGAGGTGAACCAACCAACAAAAACATATGTGGTGGAATGCATCCCACAACCCATCGAAGAAGTAAGGGACTAAGGGACCGAACTTGAATCATTGAATGACTAAGAATCGAGATCCATATGGAGGTTTCCCCGGTGGTACCCCCAAATCATCCATTTGAATAGGATTTTCGGATTTTCCATCCCAGAAAGCATCCAGCTATTGGGGATCCCCTATTTTAAAGAAAGCACCATATTCCGCATATGAGCAGTGTTCAAAATCCCTCTGTCATTCCCTTGTGCTGGTTGGTTAAGAACGGAATTCCCCAATTGGATTATTATAATCCATTATAATCCCACGTATATTGGGTAGTGTAATCCCCGAACTAATCATCAGCCAGGGAATTGAACACAGCTCATATGGCTACAAGTTCTTTCCAGCAGGTGGAAAAGTTCAGGGCCGACCTTCTTCTACGAGCTGCAACTCAATAGCTGCTGGAAGTGTGAAGTTCGAGAAGTCGGGAACGGCGTCGCCCAAATCTGGAAGGCCCTGGCTTGGGAATGGATTTGGGAACAGAAATAAATGGTCAGAACCACGGCGATCACCTCCATAAGTTGGGATATATATGATAATATAACCAAAATCGGGATATATATGATATAGCCATAATCCCTGTGAAACAATGGTTCTGTATGCACTTGTAACTGGAAGATACTGGAAGTGCATCCCCAAGTGAGCTGACGGCTTTTGGACTTTCTGGAGGACATGGGCATGACGGCATTGGTATGGCAGCTTGAGATTGACTTGAAGAACACATGTTTGACATTCTTCAGATTGAAACCAAAAAAACAGTTTTCTGATTGAAACCATCTGAATGCCAGCACCAAGGGGAAACGACAAAGGGCCTTTTGGTGTTTTTCTCACAAGGTGAGCAGGACATGAGGCCTGATGTCTCAAGACCTGCCTCAACTCACTGGACGACGGGTGGAAGCTGAGGCCCCCTTCCGCCACCCAAAAGTTTTGTTTGCCTCTTTTAGTTTTTGTTGGGGTAGTTTTGTTTAGCTTTGTTGGATTTTAAAGCATGTTTTAGCTTGTAGTTTCGTCTAGTTTTCTTTTGTTTCTTTCAGCTTTCCTTATTTTTTCACAGTGTTCTTCAGCTTTCTTTTGTTTTGTTTATATGGATTTTATAGTTTTCCTTCGGAATTTGTTGTTCCTCTGTAGGCTTTGAACTGATTGTGTGTGGAGTGCCAGTGGTGAGATTCACCAAAAGAACCAAATGTATCCGATTTTTATATGTTTGTAGTTTTCTTAGCATTTTGTTAGTTTTTGTTTGGATTCCTTCGGCTTCCGGCAGGATTCCCATGGGCTTCCTTTAACATTTTCCAGTTCCATATATTTTGAAGCGACGCATCTTGAAGAGGCATGCCATATGACCCAGGGTCTACAAGGGACATGCTGGAAGACAGAAGCCAAGTTGCCCAAAAAGGGCGGCCCAACGCCTGGTTTGAATCATGTGTTCAGTGGCATATGAATTCTGTAATTACTAATGGTACGCAGTAACACCGCAATTTCTAGTAGATAACAGCACAACTTGCCAA